TAGAAAAAAACCTCCAGGGGTATTGTAACTTGACAGCTTTAAGACTTGCACACTTCAATGCCAGAGTTTCTGAGCCAACATTTTGGTTGCTAAGCGCCAAGCCACTCCCACCCAGTCACATGGCCGGCAAGCCACTCCCACCCAGTCACATGGCCAGCAAGCCACTCCCACAAAGCAGGCCACACCTACAGAAGAGGTTCTAAAAAAATTTGAAACCCACCACTGATTCAATCTGACCCACTAACTTTTGTGAGATCAGTTACAGTAAGCTAGATGTACAGAAGCAGCATACATATGAAACAACCCCCCTCCTATTTAGCATATTGCACACAAACAGTAATTAGGGAAATGTCCTTGAAAATTTTTTCTCCAGAGTTCAGAGCTTTTATTCAGGTCCTTCAACGTAGCTTAATAAAAATGGAGCATTGTTGACAGTTTTACACATCTACAAAAATGTCAATCAATGTATTTATTTTAATGAACAATCAGATTTATAATTTAGTAATATCATGTATCATGTCTAATAAAATAGAATATTGACAAGGAAACTATTAGAAAACTAGCCAGTTTCGCATCCTTAAAACATATTATTTTTACAATAGAGGTTCTTTCCTTGACTAAGAAATAGGTTTGGGTTATTTTCATCTGCATTACTCAATTACATTTCAATGTGTTGAAAACAAGCATCAGAGGTGGCTTCCTACTGGTTTGGACCAGTTCGGCTGAGTAGGTAGTAACTCGGCTGGACCCACGCCCGAATCAGTTCTATTGGCGGTTCCAGTATTTTGTTTCTTGCTTCTGCGTATGCGCAGAAACTTATTTTTTTACTTCTGCTTATGCATGCATCAAGCGCATGCACACCTGAAACATGCATGCACCTGAAGTGCATCCCTGAGCGAATTGGCAGTAAAAGAAGCCAGAACCCACCCCTGATAAGCATTCAGTATTTTTCCATATTAGATCATATAAAAATGTTACCAAAGAAGTTCTCATTAGGTGAGCTCTATAGTGCACTAAATAAAACACAATGTTCATAGTGTAGAACAGCTATATTCTGTTTTTGCCTCCTTCAAATCTGGTCATAGAAGTGGTAACAGATATCCAGTGGTGAAAAAATAAAATGGGAACCATGACTTTGCAGTAATATGTAGATTAGTATTAACAATCAACAAAATTAATCTCTAAATTAAATCCGGCTGGTTTCAGTGAAATTTAGCTTTCATATAGCGTCTCCTGGGTCACACTGTAAACCGATGGTGTATCACTAATGCCTAAAGAATAATCTAGGATTTCTGGTTTATTTAACAGTGTCTAATGTCCCTATTTATACATGCTGTTAGAAAACCTGTTTATGCCATTTCTAAAAGCCTTTATGCCTTAAGAAAACAGATACAATTACCAAACTGAAAATGTAGTAATAAGCAAAATGTTCCTCTTTTAGCTCCAAAACTCAAAGTGGATTTAAATGAAATTTCATACAATCAAGGGACAATCTTACAGACATTTCTTACAAGTAAGTCTTATTAAAATTCTCACAGCAGAATTTACTCCAGAAAAGGCATGTAGAGAACTGTGCAACTGTGCTATGAATTATTTATATTGATGGAGTATGAGGTTATGTCAATACAAATGGGAAAAATGAGAACATTTAACAGATAGCCTTTGTTAGATTTCATAGTTCAATTGCAAAAAACAATTCCAAACTGGGATTAAACATAGGATCTAGATGGTTTAGATTGTCATTATTTTACTTCTTTAAATCAATCCCTTTTAGTAGTGTTGGTATTATTTACTCTTGGGAATAAATAACAAGTACTTATTTCTATCAAATCTTAGCCCAACCTACCTCACAGGGTTGGGAAAAAATAGGAGGCCTGAGCATTCTTCCTTTCAACAGCAAGAGGAAAGAACAGCTTTATGGATTTGCACCATGAATCTGAATTGTGTGCTCATCTACAATTTTACGCACACAGAAGCCCCCCTTCATACTTCTCACTCAACGCCTGGCATATGAAAATGGGCTAAAGACAGTTGTTATTATTAAATTTGTTGTTGTTGTTGTTCTTTGAATTTATTATTCATCTTATCAATGAATGAAATGTTTGCATGGAGGGAATAAAATAGCAAGGCTTTTGAGTTAGATACTAAACCACTAAACCTGTGATGGCGAACCAATGGTAAGCATGCCGGAAGTGGCATGTAGAGTCATCTCTCTAGCTGTCGCCTGTTGCTCTTCTAGGTTCTGGC